AAAAAAAAACAATTTTTCGATTTGGAAATTCTTGATTTGGAACATGGTCAAATGGTACCGTTTTAAATAATTTTAAAGTTTCGAAAAATATTCCAAATTATCGATTTTTTACTTTGTTGTAGCCCATTAAATTTTGGTATAATAAAGTGCAGGTTTCAAATTGCTAAAAATCGCATAGATTTGTGGCAATTTTTTTTTTTGTGACATGTTAGGCGTTTTTTGTCGTATAAAAACAAATGTCGAACATACTTTGTATTGAAAAACTGCGTGCCACTGTAAGAATTACCCGAACTAAAAGTTGATTTTTTTCGCTCCACTCTAACATATTGTCAATAGCTTCCCAAACTCTATGCTCGGTTTGCCCTCCTACTGTTTCCTACTGACTTTAACAGGTATTGTTGAAGTGGTTTTAGTTTTGCCCAATTAAAGAAAAAAACGAACTGTTGGCACCAGCTATCAGACTTGTGAGTGTCACATGGCAGACAAGTTCGACCGAAGTATGACGTCTTTAATGGACTACTGTATGGTTTGTGACTGATCTATAAGTACCTACACTTAAAATAAATTCGTACTAAAATTAAAAAAAAAAATATTATACATAAATAATAAAAATTTGGCGCACGTATGTATGTACATTAGACTGCATTACTCCCCATAGAAAAAAAAAACAAAAATCGGAACTGGATTTCCATTAGAATTATCAAACAAAATATATTTCAAGACTTCTACCAAAATATTTTGAAAAAAATATTAAGATTTACCAGAGCTGGACCGATTTGAAAAAAAAAACCTCCAAAAACTGAGTCTTTGATGAATAAATTTTTTTATTTTTTATTTATTTTTCATCTTCTTTGCATACAATTTTTAAAAAAGATTTCAACGGAATCCTTATAATGCAATTTTGATGCTGTTTTTGAACTTTTTTCAAATATTGGTTTAAGGAAAACATGAATAACTCAGCCAAAACTTTACCGTTTCAGTCTTATGAGGAATCACTGGAAAGGTATAAAAAAGGTGGGAATTTTTATTAGTTTTTTACTCTAAGGAAATCTACATACTGTATGTACTCTTGAATACCTGTTTTATCAAATTATTTTTTCTGTAATGTGTGTTTACCTAGCATACTGCTGCATGGAGGGCGCTTTTAAGAAAATTCAGTTTTTTGCCTTAAATACTGGAAACTATTGCTTCCGTGAAAAAAATTAGACATAATTGACTTTACTATTTTCACATTATTTATTTAGTATTTCTTTGATGCTCTTGCGTAGGCTGTAAGAAAAAATTGGCAAAATAAGCAGACCTTGCAGGGTTAAGGAATTGCTTGTTGAGGTAAAAAATATTAAGAAATGTTAAACGGAATCAACAAAAGTGAAAACCCCCTAATTCTCTTTTTAATCTCGGGGTTTGAGCTTCCGAAAAGTGGAAAAATCCCCAGTTGATCATCGATTCATTGAAGGTCGAAGTCATCGAAGACGGACTGGGAAACGTTTCGGTTGATCCACGAAGCGAGAATACCAGACTCCATAAACTTAAAAACCTTAAAATAATGGAATAGGCGAATGGCACGGTACAGATTATTTCGATTGCTTGTTTTTGGGAAGAAGGTCTGATAAGAAGAAACAAAGAGGGAAAGACGGTTCCCTGATGGAGTGTTGAACATACCAAACTTCGTAAAGGTGTAGGAAACCTCTGAAACGGCTACATTAAATCAACGGGTCCAGATGGTGTACATTTGAAGATGCTAAAGTATGGTATAGAGAAGTTTATATGGACTCAAATAATACTGGCTGTGGGGATTATGCCAATTATTCTACGGGAGTGTATGCTAACATAGAAAACTTACGTCTAAACGAAGGTAAATGGGAGAATGAAAGTTTCCTGATATCGGGCTTAAGTCCGCCTATGGTATTTTCGGTATAAGTACATATCACTATTATGGTGGCCTATAATTTTGATCCAAATCACAATTTTTTTGTTACAAGGGTTGCAAAGGAAGAAGCGACTTTTACTGCATTGAGTTGATTTTCAAGAAAGTCGATGGGTCGATTATGGCAGGCCGGTCGGAGTTCTGAGCACTGGGAGTAGTTGAGTTTGAACAGAATTCTTCAATTTTGGTTCCAAAGACAAACCGAAACTAGGCAAGATCTGGCGGTTAGTTTCAGATGCTTTTGGTATAATGACAACAGATTTTGCATTGGAAAACTTTGCAATACTTAAAGTAGCAGACAATTGGTGAAAAGCATCGCTGTCGTGAAATCAAAGGCAACCGCTGACAGCTCTTCAAGAATTGTCCAGGATTACAGTTTGAAACTGAACTCGCATAACAGCAAACATAGCGGGAACCGTCAGCTACATTATCTTTTCTACGACAAATAACTAAGATTCATTAATAAGATTAATAAGTTGTATTAATGATTTCTCTATACAACCTTTTTTCTGATACTTTCGTATGTAATCCTTTCCCTAGGGTTTTGGCCCAATTGGCAACTATACTTGAATACATTGGAAAATCGTTTCGGGTTATACGTGTAAGCTATTGATTCCTTTGACAACTTCAAATCGCCCGGTCCTGATGGTGTCATGTCTATTGTACTTAAAGAAATTGTTGAGCTTCTGTTTTGCGCCCTTGAAAAAAACATTTTCACTGCGACGCTAACACTTCCTCACATATATACTAGTATATATATATATATAGATGTGGTCTTCATCCGTAGAGTTGAAAAGGATGACTACACTGGTGTAGCATAATATCAATAAATAGCATTGGAAATCTGTTTTCTAAAGGACAGTCGCGGTGTGCTGTATAGAGGCACTTGATGTTTTGCTAAATTAACCATCACTTTGCACCTTTATATATGGGGAGGCCTCAAATAACGCCTGCGGGCCTACAAGAAGTGGACCTTAGTATGATACTTAGGGCCGTTTGCACCATGTCTAGTTAACGCTAACTGGAGGTACATCCTTCAGTTAAGCACGTTAACTGCTTTATCGATCACATGTTATATGATGGGTGTCGATAACGTCGATAAAGATGTTTAACTGGTGGCAGAGATCTAGACACAAGTGCATTTTCAATGCCCTAGGATAGGATGCCACACCATTACTATTTCTGAGGAAATTCTACAGGGTTGAGTTCCTTGAGTCCGGGGTCACACACTATCGAATCTTTACTGACGGCTCCAAAGCAGAACTTGGTCAGGATCTTCAATCCTCTCTTGTGGAAAGTCCTTCGGTATTACAAGCCGAGGTATTTGAGTCCACAAGCCATGGACTACGTGATGGAAAATAGGTGAAGATTCATTAGTTTACTTGTCTGTAGTGACAGCCAAGCTGAACTCAAGGCGCTCGCCATTTCTCTAACTACTTCCAGACTTGTCCGGAAATGCAAGTCTCAGCTAAATGATGTTGGAAAACTTAATGAACTTTTCTTGCTCTGGCTGCCAGATCACGCGAGGATAACTTGTAATGAGGCCAGAGATGGCTCAGATCAGGTATTTCCAGGTCCGTACCTAACCAATTATAGAAACTCCATCTTCGGTCATCGAAGCCACCGTCAGAAAGTGGGTGTATATTTCGCTCAACATTTTGAAAGTCAGTTTTTTCCTTTGCCAAATTGAAAAAAGTATCGCAACTTCAGGTGAAATTGAGAATATAACCAAATTAGCGCGATTTGGCGTTCATGGATACACACTACAAGCCTGGTTTTAAAGGCTTGCTAACTAATTAAAACCAAAACCTATATTTTATGTTTATTTCCCAAAACCCATGAATAAAGCTTTTACTGCCTTTTAAGTACTTTCGCGTATAATTTTTCAGATTTATAATGTTGTTCCCAAAAGCTCCTCGGTGTGAGGAAGATGAGGGGTCAAAATGCTTATTAAGAAGAAGAAGCGCTCAGTAACAATTTAAATAATGAACTCGCGCGTGTTTAAATGTCACTCAAGCACATCCTTGCAGCTTAATTGGGTTAAGGAAGAATTAAAAATCTGTTGGGTGTAAATTTAATTAGTAGCAATAATTTACTGTTTATTAACAAATTGGTAATAATTGAATCAAGCTAGTTGCCTTCAAACTCTTTTTACTGACGAATGCATGTAAATCTCAAAATAAGTAATAAAAAATTGGAACAAGATGTTGAATGTGTGTAGTAAGAAAAAAGTATAACATTGATACCAGTTTTCGGCGGTAGCGCATGCGCAATTCAAACAACTATGAAATGTGTGCAAGAAAAACAAGTTTAGTGCACTTGGCATTCGATTTTTTACGTTGTGGCTGGAATGAAGTGTTAAATAACAGTGAAATTTTAAACAAGTTGTTTGTCTACTAGCCAGCGGATAGCTACAGCACCTTTGCATGCGCAGATGTAAATAAATGACTACGCACAAATAAGAGTCAAAAAAGTAGCAAGTGTCATTCGTGTGCAATTTGCATATTTTTCTATTACATGCAACAACATGTGGCACATTTAACATAGCCACAGACAACGGCGAAGGTGGGATGATCTGTGATTATGCAATGTTGTATGCAATTTCTGGTATGTATGTATGTATGTATGTTGCATGTGCTGCAGGCAAATAGTATTTTCACAACTAGTTAGTTAGTTGCCACCAAATGAAGTAGGTCAACTTGTGTCGCCTCGGCAAAGTTGTTGATCCTGTTGGCTTTTGCTAATTTTGTTGGGGTAGTGGTGCTATCAGGAAGAGTATAAAAGCACATGCAACAGGCCACTCAATTGACAGTGCGTTCTAGGAGAACACTTGGAATACTTACAGCATCCGTAGCGGCAACTACATACATAAATAACTACACAATATTATTGAGACAATTAAATGAAGTTTCTCTACTTGCTTTTGTTGTTGCTGCCCATTTTAGAGGCACGCCTAGCTGGAATACATCAAAGATTTATACGCCAAACAGGACGTTATGGCACGCCAGGTGGCTATCGACCCAATCTCGCCTACACCAGCAACAGTAACCATGGCAGTGCCAACAGTAATAGCATTGGCATTGGTGGCAGCAATACTGGCAATAGCTATAGCAGTGGCAATGTAAATGCTAACGGTAACGGCAATGGAAATGTCCGTCTCGCTTATGTGCCAGCTAGCGGCGCAGTTGCTACACGACCTTACAATGGTGTAGGCGGCTTTAAATTTGGTGGACGTCCATCGCCGGGCAGTGATTTTGTGGTGAATGCTGTGAGCGCTGGTGCTGGTGGACCTGGTGGTGGATATTCGGCAAATCACCCACAGACGGTGTACAAAAATGTGGGTGGCAGCGGTGGAAGACCGCAAGCAAATACCGCTTATCGCATTGTACCGGGCCCCTTGGCAAGTGGGGGGCGACCAGTGGCAGCTGTAGGCGGCAGTGGTGGATATCAAAGTGGTGGATATCAAAGTGGTGGATATCAAACTGGTGTATATCAAAGTGGCTAAGGTGCCAGTTTAAATGAGCAAAAGAAAGGAAGTGCAGCAGGTTTTGGTTTTGTACAAAATATTTTGTATTTAATGTTTTACATTTTTCGCATATAAAAAGTTTAAATATAGAAAATAAATAAATTAAATTACCGGCACTTTAATTTGCCTAGTTTATCTATAGCACTTGATAAGCCTGAAACCCCTGTCCATAGCCAGCCATTTGTCCCAAGAATGCAGGCGGATAAGGATAAGCGCCTCCTAACTGTGGCTGTGGTTGCAGCTGTAGCTGTGAAGCTTGTCCTGATCCTTGTAACTGCAGCTGCGTGGGCTGCATTTGCGCTCCAAATACCGGATTACCGCTTCCAGTAAGGCCTTGCAAATTGGCCATATTTATAAGCGTATCCAAGTTATTTGCGCCAGCTAGAGGGGCGCCAAACTGGCTTTGCGTTTGTGGTAAACCGCCGAATATATAATTTGACAAGACATCCGGTCCATTTGGTGGATAAGGTGACAAGTTATTGCCCACATAGTTGGCTGCAGCCGGATAATTGAAGCCAGCTGGATTGCTAAACTGCGGTACGCCTATGCCAGTTGCTCCACTATTAACTACTCTAAATGGGCCGCCAATCGGCGTGCCCATCAATCCCATGCCTGGACTACCGGCATATCCGCTGCCTCCGTAGGCTAGTCCACCGTAACGAGCATAGGGATTGGCACTGATAATGCCAGCAAAGCCGGGTAGAGCTTGCAGTTGATTTGCCGACTGTCCTCCTTCCAACGGCTGACTGCTAAACGCCTTCACTTCCGCTTGTGATACTCCACTATTGTTAGATAATTTTGCCTGACGTGCTTCACGTTGTTCGGCAGGAATCGCATCACAGCATTGCTGGAGCGTTAGGATGCTGATGAAAAGGAAAAGAGCGGCGATTGTGTAGTTGCAATTCATGTTGCTTTCTTCAAGGTTGTCTAACTTTAACTGTTGTCATTTGTCGCGGCAGTTAAGGTATTTATGGTGGTGCAGTGTGATTTCTTTTTCCTCACTTCAATTTCTCTAAACTCCTCAAATGTACTCACTTTCTTTTTTAGTGGTGCTAGCGTGTAGGTATTCGCCTTTGGTCCCATTTTAAGTGAGTGAAGTGCGAATTTTTGAAAAAATGGCAATAAAATATTAATTTTCTCTTACTTTTTATGTGTTACCTATTTTTGCCATCTACTCTTAGCTGCGTAGGCATGAACTAACGCACAATGCTAGAAAAATAAAAGTTTTGTAACAATTCGCACCTATTGCCTAATGGCCGCGGCAACGAGGTGTCAATTGATTTGGCCCTCATTTTGTTGGGCAGCTCTTTTAAAAATTCAATTTCATTTCTTCTTTTATTCGCCGGAGAGGTAATAAATAAATATTTAAGAGCTCAATAAATAGTTTTTAGTGCAGGCTGTTGATCTTGTTTAGTTTGTTAAAGAAATACATTGCTTGTTATATATCCAGTCAAGGGAACTCTTCCGCGGTGCCTTAAGTCATTTAGGATAAACGTACAAAATTTTTGTTTGAAAATAAGAAAAAATCTTCAGCGTATGAGTTGTTGACCTATTTTACTTAAGTCTCATTCCTTTTTTCTGCTAGTAATTTTAACTAAAGATTATACAGTTTTATGCAAGTAAGTAATCAAAATTTTTATGCTTCTAACACAAAGATTCCAGGTAAGAGTTGTGCGCTGGGCTTGGGAACCGCAAAGTAAAAACAAGTACTAGTGAAAGCGTAACGGTAAAATCCAGTAACGGGCTGATGCTGGTCGTTAAGTTTCAGCTTTAGAAGCTTCGAGGACCAAAAAGTGATTCGGGAAAGCTAATTGTTTCAGCCTTAAAATTATATTCGCCTATGAGCAGCAAAAAATCGCACAGTAGCAACACAAGAAAGCTTTCGCGTTGATAAGCTGCAATCACAAAAGACTGACAGCATGTTTGCGAGCATGCTTTAACAAGCCGATATTTGCCAGCAGCATGACCACAGTGCAATGTGTTATAGCCGTTGTTTTGGGTATGCAGTTCAGTGTTGCCAGAACCAGACCGGCTATATTCGTAAAAAAAAGCGGCTAAATGTTTCAATTATAATTCACATGTTTTATTTAAAGCCATCGCAAGTAAAAATACTAGTAAAATCATTTTATATTCTTTATAATAAACGTTAAGCTTTACATCACTCGTTAAATAAATCACGAAAATAAAGACAGGTAAATTCATTACAAATTATTTTTAACAAAAAAAAACTACCGTTATACGTACATCAGAAGTCATGTTTGTATTACTTAAATATAAACGAGAGATCAATTACAATGTTATGGCGTTTTCTTTTTTATTGAAAAGGAGTTGTCTTCCCATATTTATATATATATATATTTTATATATATTTATTCTCATTCGTTATTTTCTTAGTTTTGCGAATAAAACTTCGCCCTTAAATTTAAGCCATTCAAGCCATTAACAAAAATTGTACAGGCTACGTCCTGCTTTGATTTTTTTTAGTTTATTTAATGTTTATTATTCTTTTATGAAAATATAGCTCATTACTCAACAAACACCGTATAAGCCTCAATTTAAGACTTTGTGCAAAACTTATGAAAATTCTGCAAAATTTCAGCAAAATTTTTAACTTTTTAATCAGCATCTTTACAAAATGGTATGTATGCAGTTTTGTGGTCCGTGAAAATTTAATACAATATGGTGAAAATTTTAAGTAGCTAAGTAGGACATAATTTTTGCGTAAAATATGAAATTTGGATTTAAATGGTGTTTGTAAGAAATCAGCACTTTACATTCACATGAAATAAAAATCATTGCAATCGGTCCAGTATTTTAAGACTTTTCGGATTAGAGAAAACTCTTTAAATTTTATGGACTTAACACAGTCCGACATGAAAATCTTTCTCCGAGATAAGGCAGGCTGTTTCTAATAGGGTCGCCAATTTTGTAAAAAATGCAAACTTATATGTACATATATTTGAATTTTAAAAAAATATGGCAAATAGCGAAATCGGAAATGGTTGACAAATCGGCTGCCGGCTAAATCGAATTTTGTCCCGAAAATGGCTAAACTGGCAACACTGGTGCAGTTACAGGTGCACGGTTATACTCAATCCTGTTTCGTTTATAAGTATGGCCTAAAAAAAATAAATGTCACTGACTGATTTTTATTGATGACTTTTATATGAATGCCCGAGCACTTTTCATATAATTCGAAAGTGTTTCGTCTGACGCCATTCGAACTTGCGACCTCCTCGAAGCTATCAAATGATAACACGCTCCTCTTCATTATCAGTTATTTCTAGAAGAGTATTTTGAAATTCTCAGTTTAGATAAATACTTTAAAATCAAATATCATGATTATATCCGGACGCTTTTCGGATCAGAGAGTCCAGATTGTTTAAAACAAAGCGCAAATTCTTTAAAAAAATCACCCTTAATCGCCAAATAAAAAAATCAAATTCATGAAATCGACTGAACAAATATTTTATTTTAGCAACGACATCTTGTTATAGTATAGTTTTTAGAGCCAAATAATAAAAATAATCAAGGTGGTTGCGGAATGTGATTGGTGTCATAATCAGAACTGAAATCGAGAAAAAATGCATGCGGTGTCATGCATTCTGATTTCGTCGGTTTCATTTCTCAATAAGAAATAGTATTGGCTCGATTTTTTTCGATTTTCCTATAAGAAAGAAACCGATGAGATTATCGCTGAACACAATGTTAGCAGTTATAACAAATCTCAAAATATTGAGTACCAAATCCAGGAATAGTAAGTAAAGTTACTTATAGAAAAAAAAAATTGTTGGAATGCATTCAGTATATGTACAATAATTACGTAAGCTTATCTATTCAAATAGAGACTTTCATCAATTTGGGGCTTCATAACCTTTCCATGCTTTCTGTTTAAGCGACTTGTTCTTTTGTCCGCATGAACAAAGAACAGCGAACACACACACGCACTTGTATTGCACTCCCGCCCAAAACCAAGAGCATCGAATAAACCCATGCACTTGTGTTTAAAAAATAATTCGCTCGTTCTTCATTGGGTATGAATAATTTAGGAACTTCTCAACTGCCGCAGAACAAAACCTACTAAAGGAGTTAATTGCTGGCACCCCAAATCATGCTCAACAAACTCGCTTGATGCATCACAACTCTCCCGGGGTTGTCTCACGGGGCTCTGTATTGCTTTCGGCATATAGAGGTCGTACAAGAGCTACACTCTCGCTTGACACACACCCCCAAAAACTCTTACAGAGTTTAAGCGGCAAAGCCACAGCGCTACAAGCCGTAGGGACTCTGCATGACTTACAACCATACAGAGGTGGTAACTGATGGTTATTATTGGCCCCGACGCCTGCCCAAAATATTTTTGCTTTAATAAATTTTTATGCAAATACAGTCATCCTGGTCCCCTGCCCTCTCACTGAGTTAAACACTTTCTGTATATGCGCCCCGTAATGCCTGGAATTTTGTATTCGTTTTCTGAAACTATTAGCTCTCATATAACATTTAATTCGAACTACTGAATTAAGGCTTTCCAACGACATCCTAATCCGAATCTTAGTTTTGGTGGAATTCATGAGCGAAGAGGATAACAATAAAAACTGGTTTCACATCGAAACTAAAGCTCAAGCTCTACAGCGCACTTTTCACTACATATGTACGTTAATATGCGCTGTTTGCGACCAGCACCTAAAATCTTATTAAAAAAAGGAATCATTTTTGTATGCACACATTTATTGAAAACGCCAAAAGATATGCTTTGATCTAGAAGCTAAAGTTAATTTACTTGCTGATTCTACTTGCGGTCGCAAGACAAGACGCTTTTATTCGGTTCATCTTAAACGTGCATGTACACACATATGCACGCAAAACATTGAAGTCAACAATCAGGTACGTCGTTGCTGGTGACAAAAGTGGAGGTACAAAAATAAAACTTAATGACGATTGTTTTTTAAAAATTCATGAGATCCATTGGAAGTTAATGTGTTTAGAATAGAGGAAATGAAAGTTTACATTTAAGAAGTTTCTAAAATTATAAAATTCTGGTCAGAAGTCAAATGAATATATTTTTTTGTGCTTCATTATAACGACATTTCCAAGTCAAGTTCATTATTTAAGATTCTTAACTTTACTTGAATTTAGATACATGTTTTTTTTTTTTATTGGAATACATTGGCGAGGTCTGAAATGTAGAACTTTTACTATTGTTGTATTAAATTTTCCCAGGTTTAAGTACTCTTTTTTTTTGTTAATATTACACCCAGTTTAGACAATAATTTTTTTGTTGCTATGCAAATGATAGAATGAATCTCGGCCGAGTTTATTTCTTTTGCAAGCGAACTTGTAGTATTTTACCTTTTTATTTTCACGAAATTAAACGTTTTGTCAAATTTTGTTAAAAAATGCCGGCAACTTGGTAAATGTTTCAAATCATTGAGCAACGTGTTTTAATTTTAGGGAAAACTTAAAAAAAAAAAAAATGACACAGGGCATGAAAAAAAGTTGAAAGCGGTAGAATTTAGCAAGGAATGACGAAATTACATTTGAAATAACATGAACTAACTTAGTCTAGAAAAACTATTTCAGAAGTTCGTGCCTTAAGTCTTTCGTATAATCACTTTGTTTCCTTATTTTGCCCCCAGTTATTTCAATAGAATATATGTAGATAATGTTGTGGTTTTGTGTGCAAATACGAATACGAATATTTTATAGGTTTTGACGGATTTCATTGGGCCGACTTTTTTGTATGCGTAAAGTGTTATTGCGAAAATTTGGGAACACACTTTTTCGCCGCATTCGAACGACGCACAATAGTCGAGAGTGGGTAGAAAGTCGATGTTTCTAAATGTCTCGAAATAGACAACTGCAGATATGCCTCTTAACACGATCTAAGGAATTTTCTAAAGAATAATAGCACCATTGATATTGGTGTTGTATTTTCGAGTAAAAATTCGAACACAGGCAATTGAATGATCGGTTCTTGGATTTGTTTTCATCTTAAGGGCAGAGTATACATAGTTAGTAGTAACAAGGGTTTCTCCATAAAGGGTTATTATAATTTTAGCTCGTCCTTTCAGAATAGAAAACATTTACATGATTTTAACCCTCTGCTACTGACGTGACCGAAAAGTCCCTATTATACTGTGGGATCTCAGAAACCTATTTTCCAGATCTAAATACACATACATATTAGATATTTGTTAATAAACTACGTACTTTTCGTCGTTTATTACGCAAAATTTCTAAAAAAAACATGTTTTAAGGAATTTTACTCCTTCTTTTGCAGTATCTTTCTTAACAGAGTTTGTTTGTGGAAGTCTCTTTTCACCTTGCAAATTTTCTCAATTGATTTTTATTTTAGTTCCACTCAAAAATTGTTGTAAGAAGTTAATCTTAGTTGCCAATTTCCTGCCGGAAATGTTTAAAACCTTCTGCTTCGGTCTGCTTTTAAACCTTAACATGCCGGTAGTCTTTTTCTAGTAACACCCACCTCTTAAATATATACATATATATATATATATATATATGCATTTTCTAAACCCCAATCAGTTTGCTTCTGAATAAATTGTAATTGCATTTTTTCGCAATTCAAATTTAACGAAAGCACACCCATTATTTTCTGACATTTAATGCTGAGCTTATGTGATGCAAAAAATTTTATTGAATAATTTATTAGTACAATATGGAAAAAAGTATGACGGCCTTTTTGTTATAAGGAAAAGAGTTTTTGTTATTAGGTAAATCTCAACATCAGTTTCTTATTCGCATTCAGTCCTTTTAGCACTTCAATCTTAGTGATGACCGCCTCTATAACCATCACGATGTTTCTCATAATGTTGAGGATAATGACCATCATAATGTCCACCATAACGTCCGTCATAATGTCTACTGCCTCCTCTATAGCCACCACGATGTTCACGCGTTAAACGGTCGCCTTCATTTTCGTGTCCCTGCTCAGCGACATCCAACAACGATAAAGGCTGCACCACCACATCCGAAGCAACTACATTTTCCACTTCTTCAGGACTCCCATAGGCGTCACTCAACAGGCACACGAATAGTACCAACATCAAACACAAATTGAGTAAACGCATTTTTATTTGATTATGCTTTGTTATGTAGTCAAAGAGTTCGCTTTTTAAATAAATGTTTTCGGTTAAGAGTTTGAAACGATATGATTGCTGCATGGATATCGCACGGTTTTTATACGCTAAAAATGCAACTTATTTTGCGTGCGCATATAGTGCTATATGTAAATACTAGGGTATTCGATTATTCGCCATTTTTCCAAAACTGGTTTCGAGTTATGAAAAAAAACCGGCTGCCGATTTTGAAATTAAGAATAAACCGGAAAACCCGGTTTCATTTTACATAGCTTTCATAAAGTCAAAATGCCTATCTTGGTATGAAGTCATGACCAAAAAATACCACAAAACTACTTAAAGTAAAGACAGCTTTTATTAAGAAAAGCGCAAAGCAAAATAAGTACAAAGTTTTTTATATCAAAATTAAGACAGATAAAGATAAGTGAAAAATTCATGTTTGGTTTTTTGTTTAATATTTTATTGCATTTTGTCTGACTTATCCTGCCGGTTTGAAGTAGTGCTCTTGTCGCCGTAGCTAAGTGCTCAGAGGTGCCTATTACCAACTGGCTTAATGGCAAACCTCCGAGTATACTTCTGCCATAAAAAAAAAACGTAGAACGTGTTTAAGCGCCAAGCATTCGTTTATTGCAATCAAATATGATATACTGTTCATCCCCAAATAACCTAGGATATTTATGAAAGACCGGTTTGATCGCTTTAGGTATTCCATTTTCGAAAAAACAAGATTTCAAAAAACCGCCTATAGATTTCCCAAAAAATTAGTGCAAAACCGGTTTGGAAAAACCGAGTCAACCACCCTAATAAATACGTTAATGCATATATTTATATGTAAACGTTCATAGTTATACGCAGTTGTTGCAAGTGATGTTACTTAAACAATAACTGTAAATCATCAGTAAAGTGCGGCGTTTTACTTGGAATTGATTCTCAATAATACTCAATTCTTTAGGATGCACCACAAAATATTCGTATGCCATATATGCACATTGTATGAGAACCACTTTTCGTGCACATCGTGGATGGAGCCAAAAACAAAAACTTTTCTGCACCGATTAATCGTGTTAACATCGCTAATAACACTGTGTAACAAAATGGGGCGAATGAAATAAGCCACGAATGCGGTATGGTAGAAAGAAAGGGGAAAAGTTCCAGAGTATTCCACTTTAATGATTTTTTCCTAATTTGGTCCCAAGTTGATCTAAATTATTTAAAAAAAAAAACTCGTACGAAACTACATTTTCCATTTATACGAAGAATTTATAGGAAAATTTAATGGCGCATATTTTTGTGAAACATTTTAACCCAATATTTTTCAACCGTGTGGGTCATTTTGTCCCTTTTTGGGGAAAATTCAGTAGCAGGTGAAATTTCCCCTTTATTGTTGACTTTTTGGTTTGAAACTTGGTACCCGACTATAGTTCTGACGACACTAAATTACATATTTTTTCCACAATACGCTCAGTTGGTATTGAAATGTATGCGCTTGAAAAGTAGTATGTAGTGCATTTTTCAAATAATTTAGACCAACATGAGACCATATTTGGAAAACTTAAATGCATACACTATGACAAAATTTTATCGTTTTGGAACCAAAACGGCAGGTGCTCAATATACCCATACCGCATTCGTGTTATTTTTTTTACCGTCGCACAGTGTAATTAACTGCTAAATATTGTAGGTGCACTCTACTCTCGCTTATCAAAAAAATGCAAATAACACAATTTTGTAACTGGTTGTTACCATTGAATTACCGGCTATTAATGAATGAAATAGCAAACTATTTAGCACCCAGCCAGCTTCTCAACAATATGTGACTCAGCGAATATATGTTAGTATGTATGTACATCCATATTCATATGCATACATATTTACTTACATATAGCACACCGTCTTCAAAAGAGGCACAACTCAAAATTTGACATTTTTGAAATTATGCGCTAAAAATGTACACAGAGGCCTTGACACAGAGCTTTTATTTACCTTTCAGCAAAAGCTGGACCAAATTTTTGTAATAATTTGTTAAAAAAAACCTAAACCTAAACCCATATGATTATCATGTGCTAAGAAATAGTTGTTCGCATTTTCTGACAAACGTGTAATTTTGAGTTGTGCGCCTTTTGAAGACGGTGTGCGATATGTAAATACATTGAAAATATATATATGTAGGTACATATGTATATATAATTCTGAGAATCAGTCAATGTGAGGACGACTTCTAGTTCTGAATATAAACATGTAAAATAATCTGTCAGTTAAAAAAAATTACTACGAATCGCAGATTAAAATTAAACTACAAATGAATGGTGCGAGTTTTCGTTGATATTTCATTTAAGCGACCTGGCTAATCCAGCTGAATCGCTACATTTTAACCATGTAATTCTTAAGCGCATACAGCTCCTCTTCCAATCGTCTGCAGCACCCATTCGAATACCACAAGCGGCTTCCAATCGGATGTTGTCTTTGTCCATGCTTCTGTTATATACACCAGCACAGGAATGTAGAGTGACAAACATAGGCTGACAATATTTATGAGAGCCGAATACGGGACAAAAAATAATTTTGCAAATTTTTTCCACATTGTTCTCCCTGAATATCCTTATAGTAACATTACAAATTTGTACGGCAATTTTCTCGAGATTTTTACCCCGCAAAATTTGTTAAAACAATTCGTTAAATTTTTGTATAATAAAGTGCAATTTTAAGTCGGTAAGGCTTACCACTAATTTTTGACAGTTTTTTTTTTTGTGTTGACGGCATTTTTTTCATACAAAGTACGTATGTTCGACCTTTTTTTTGAAAGAGATGCAAATGAGCAGCACTTTCCACTCGCACTTTATTATACTCGATTCAAATTTTTTTCTAAAGATTCTAATTAAAAAGTTTGAAATTTTGGCGAAATATTGCAGAATTAATTTTTATAGTTTTTTGCACAAAGTTGGAAATTCATTATTATGTTTATGGTTTTTGTTCGGAAAAGAGCTTTACTTTCATAAAATAAATAATAAACTTTAAATAATCTAAGGAAAAATAGCCAAAACTTACTCAATCGTCGAGTCCTAATTCCTATTGTGGCCACTGTATATATTCCTCGATTCGAATTACAGGCATTCAGATTAGAAAATAATAACAGTTTATAAAGAAAATTACAATCATATACCAACATCACTTAAAACTCATTCATAGACATGCCATTTTAATGAGCTGTTAAGGCATCGGAATACCGAATACGGGACAAATACAGGGCATTAAGAGAAATACAGACATCCCGTATAAAATAAATAAATTACCAGGACAATAGGTCAAAATAGAGGTATGTTCCGTATAATACTGGACGGATGGTCACCGTAGACATACATATGTAGCGTGATTTTTGTACGACAAGAGAGGTATTTACTTCGCATTTGCCTAATAAGTACAAAGTAGCACTTGCTAGTGCTGGCTCCTAAATAAACAAAGTTGTCTACCTGTCAAACTTGTAACTGTCAACAGTGACCGTAGACTTAATTTACGTAGCGTAACCTATTATATTGGCCAACGCAATATGTTTTTGTCCAGGTATTTTTTTATGTAGCTTATAGGCGGCAAAAGTGACAATCAGCTGAAAAGGAAAATACAAAAACACAATTTATTTTCGCTGCTGGCTAAGGGTTTCTTACGTAAGTTAAGTTAAGTTTAGATTAACTGAGCCTTAAGCGTCTGATGACAGAAGATATGTACTTTGTTTTGTCCCCGTTCAATACCAGATCGAAGCTACAGCTCTTATAATCTTCTCCAATATCAGACAGAAGAAATAACACAACAGGCAGGTGCCCGTCTGAAACCCCATTTCATAGAAAATGGCTCGGAAAGGTCCTCCGCGCATCAGGAAGGAATAGGGTAAAACTATTTGGGTTAATTAAGTAATGAATAACCCCATTAAGAGTCGTCATTAAAAGAAGCGGGTCTCATCCGAGGCTTATTGAAATATTTCATTGACAGAAGTTTTTACGTTCTGGAAACCCAAGACGGGTGCCCGGGAGGTTTTTCGTCTTCTCAGAATAAACCATATCCTCTTTGTTTAAACAACGCATGTACACATATGATGTTGCGCCACATTACCTTTTGTTCACTTTAAAGTTAGAACAAAATTCTTTTTTAAGGTTTTTTCGTTTGGACACGATTTCGTTCTGCACTTCACTGACGCTTTTTTAGTAATTAAGAAAATTCGAAAAAAATCAAGACTTATATGTTCCATTTAATGGCATTTGAAACCGGACCCTAACATATTTTTAAGGCGAATTCATGCAAGGCAAAATGGCAGCACAACAACAAAAAACTACACTAACAAGTTATACGAGCGATGAAAATCAGAACTCCAAAAAGCCATTATATGGCAATCGGCGCAATTCCCCTTGAAATCAGTTGCGCCAGTCACACCACCTGGTATATTTTTTAACCATTTTATTTTGCATATTTACAAAAGTTAAAGTATATTTACAACAAGTTGCATCTCTACATTTTAGTGGGAAGAAGAAATGGGAGAAATCGGACAACAACCAACCAATTCTTATAAAACGGTATTTAAGAAAAACAGAAAATTTAAAAAACTGATAAATCTTCGATATTTCAAAAATCACTGTATGGAAATTGCTCAATATTCATGTATTTATAAATTAATATTTTAGTAGGAAACTTGGTTTTAAACAAAATTGGAAAGCAACACGAACCTAGACTTTTATAATAAAAGTCGTTGGAAAAAAATGTAATTTTTTTGCTTTTATTTTATTTAAAAAAAAAAATAGGCGGTCAACCCGAACTTTTATTCCTTTAGTCCGGTAATAACAGTTAAACTTGGCCAAATATTTTTTAGGGCCGAAATAAAAGTCCTTTTCTAATAAAAGACAAACCGCTTATCCAAATTAAACAAATTTGTTATCAAATGAAAAAAGGCTAAAATGGCAAACTGAAATGTCGAAACGAGGAAAGCCAGCTATTGAAAAATATTTCAGTTAAAAATGTTATTTAATTACCATAGAACAAACCCTGGGTCAGATATATGAATTTATTTAGCACTAAATTGTTAAAAATAAAATATAAATAGGTGGTAACATTCGCTCGTTATTTCTGTTTAAAGGCAATTTCAGTCCTCTTTCTTTTGATACCAAATTTTTTTTACCTTAGATAAACGGTTTGTTTATTATAAGGAAAGGAATTTTATTTCGGATTTGAAAAATATTTGGCCAAGTTTAACTGTTATTACTGGGCCAAAAACATAAAAGTCAGGTTTTTTAGTTATTATTGCATTTTTTTCCAAAATGAATGCAGGATTCTTGTTCCGGAGATCCTGGGATCAAACGAACTTTGATAACTTTCTTCTACATCGAAAAAATAACGGTTTCTTTCGGTCCCTGGAAAACAAGCGCAGCCACTGCTACAATTGATGAATTCTTTAAATCTCAAAAATCATTCAACGGCGTCAGCATGCCACAGCTGTTATATACTTACATATGTATATGTTTTACTTTCTTTCTAAAACCTATGAGTTTCTTAAATAAGCACAATTATGTAAGCTTTTTAAGCTTAGTCTTTACAATCCTGGCAAACCGCCGCCAGTTTTTTCCTTTAAGGCTATGAAATGGAAAGCAAAAATTCGGGCTAGCAGATAAACTAATCGATTGATATTCTATTGCAAACATTAAAATTAATAACAAGTTAAAACAACAAGTTTTTTTTGTAGTTATCGAAAGGGATTTTATTGAGAATCGACACTTTTGCTCAATGCCCTAAAATGTTTTATTTTTTTTTTGGTTTCGATTTTCTACTAAAATCAATTATAATATTTAATTAGCACTATCCAAGGTTTTGTCGCAAAAATGTGTATATTCCTCTCAACCACTATAGCACATAGTAAGGACTGGGATAATAACCACCGTTACTTTGGGAACTTGCGCTTGCAGTTGCAATTGATTGACTGCTTGCAGATCCAATTCCTCCACGGCGATATCCTCCATATTCTCCACCGGGAGATACTCCATATCCTCCAAATCCTTCATAGGGATATCCTTGGCGTGCTACACGTCTTAGTTGCTGCGGTTGATATTCGAAAACGACGGCCGCTGGTTGTTCAATACTCAGTAGCGTTTCACGTTGCACGGGCACCCCATGGCACATCACAACGAGCAGGCAAAGTGCCAAGCAAAAAATGACGGTGGATTTCATTTTCAAATCGGCCTGTTTTCTTGCACAAAAATATGATTGTTGTTTGCTGTTACAAAAATACTCGACTTCTGATTATCTACAGCAAATTGCTGATTATTTTATAGATGCAAATTGGCGAAAAGCAGTTCGATAAGTAATTGAAGCTGGTAAGGCGGGACGAGATATCAATTCGAGTTTGAATTTGTGTGACAAGATGAAGCCGCTTTTTACATACATATACAGTACATAAGTACATTTTCTAATAGCTTAATACGTATAAATTTTTTCTAGATAAGATTTTGTTTTACTTAGGTGATTGTTAGGCTTAGGTTGTTGTTATTTTTCATATTTACATATATACATACATACAGTCAGTCAATAAAGTTTACGTACAGCGAATTTTTTACAATACGGGCAACTAATTTTTAAATATTTTATTTTTCGATAATTTTTTATAAAAATATGGTTAATTCTGCAACAAAAAAAAAAAACAAAAATCAGAGTTCCAAACCTCGTGCAAAATTAAAGAATATTCTGCAAAATTTCATTCAAATATTGCACTTTTTAGTTACGCTCTCTAGAAAAAAGTTGAGTATACAGTTTTTTAGCCCATTCAGTTTTACTATAACAAAGTGCAAGTTTGAGGTATCTAGGACTTTCCATTGATTTTTAACATTTTTTTTTTGTTGAATGTGTCGCTCCTATAAAATAATGTTTGATAATTTTTTTATATGGAAAAAATGTGCGACACCTTCAACGAAAAAATTTCCTAAAAATCAATGGTAAGTCGTAGCTTCCTCATTGTTGCACTTTAACTATGAATACTGAATAGTCAACTTTTTTCTAGAGGGCGTAAATAAAAAGTGCAATATTTGAATGAAATTTTGCAGAATTTCTTTAATTTGCACAAGGTTTGGAATTTTGATTTTTGGGGTTTTGTAGTAGTAATAAAAAATTTGCGAAAAATAAAAATAATAAAAAAACAAGTAAGAGCAGCGCTGTCTTCGGCTATGCCGAAGGCTTCATACCTTTCATGAACATCTGCAAATTTTACTTTGACAGATTACTGCTTTTGAGTACATCTGCATACATCGATAGAGGAGTTACATACCTATATAAAAAATCGCATCTGAACAAACAGAGGTATGGAAGATATACCTTATATTAGCACCAATCTAAGTGATTTTCACTGCTATGTGATCGGTATGTAAACCGGTAACACAATTTATTGGGTTTAGTTTCCTTCATAAAGGAGATATATCGCAAAAACTGGTATCTGAACAATCAGTGCTATAGGAGATAAAGCTTATACAGCATAGATTTTGACGATTTTCTCAGTAGACTTTGTATTATTATTTAAAAAATATCTTACGAAATTTATCGGTTTTAGCTGTTCAAATAAAGGAGTTTTACAGTAAAATCCCATATCTGAACAATCAGATGTATGGAAGATATATGTTGTAGTCACCCGATCCTTGTTATTTTCACTGTAAGTATTCTGTTAATAATGAGTGAAAGTGGTGCGAAATTTCATGTTCCTAGCTGCATAAATGTAGAAGTTATAACGAAAAATCTCATATCTGAACAATCAGTTGTATGGGAGCTATAGGTTATAGTTATCCGATCTTTTTAATTTTCACTGTAAGTTTTCTGTTGATAATTATTGAAAACAGTGCGGAATTTCCTGTTCCCAGCTATATAAATGGAGGAGTTATAACGAAAAATTTTATATCTGAACAATCAGTTGTATGGGAGCTATAGGTTATAGTGAACCGATCTTTGTAATTTTCACTGTAAGCATTCTGTTAATAATGGGTGCAAGTGCTGCAAAATTTCATGTTCGTAGCTGCATAAATGTAGAAGTTATAACGAAAAATCTCATATCTGAACAATCAGTTGTATGGGAGCTATATGTTATAGTGGTCCGATTCTTCCGGTTCCGACAAATGATTAATACATTATAAAAATACACCCACTTACCAAATTTGATCCGGATATCTCGAAAACTGAGAGACTAGATTGCATACAAACAGACAGACAGACGGACAGACGGACAGACGGACAGACGGACAGACGGACATGGATAAATCAACTCAGCTCGACGTTCTGATCAAATAAGTATACATTTTAATGGGTCTATCTCTTTTTGTTCTGGTACTTACAAACATCGGACCAAAGTTATAATACCATTTCATGCTCATGAAAGGTATAATAAAAAAATTCGCTGTACCAAAACTTTATTGACTGGCTGTACATATGTATATGAATATTAAGAAATATGTTGGATATAATTTTAAAATGATGGGCAAATTAACGAAGTAGTGGCAGCTTTATGATAACTGCGCAAAGATTCGAGTATGGTGAAAATAATTCCAGAGGCTTAATAAACAAACGTCTTTAGAAAGTGGGGATTTTTTCTATAAGTAATAATATTATTTAATAATTCATGGGTTATTAACACTTCCATCGATGTTTTTGCAAACGCATTTAAAACAGCTTATCTTTGTGTATTCGACTTGTGCATGTGTCTGAGCTTAAATGCTTGTTTGCTACAAAAAAAAGCAATTAAGATAAAAAAATTAAATTATTCAGAATAAAAAATACACCGCAGTCCAATGGCATAACAATTTGAATACCGATCAATGTTCGCTTATAAACGCATATAAATGTGATATGATTTGGACTTCCAAAGGGATTTTATTCTAAATTATTAAGAAAAAAATGAAGGGGACCATATATTCGAATAAAATATTTTACTTGTAAATCTTGATTATATTTAAATAGAGGCAATTGCGGCCCGCACGCCGCAGTTTGCTGACCTTTGCCTCAGAAATGTTTGTACTCATGCGAAGTCCTTAACATCGATCGTTTTCTAAAAAAATAAATAAAAAATAGATACTGACGCCATTATGGCTTCCGTTGGTACAAAGTGCCCAATTCCCTTAATGGGGGCGTATCACTCGTTCTCTCTCACAGGACCAAGATCTTGGACCTGATTCTGGATAGGCAGTTATCATGGCAGCCAAATAAGGAGGAGCGAGTAAAAAAAAAATGATTCGGTGGCTCTTTACTGGGTTAAAAATGTACTGTGGAATAGATGAGTGGCCTCTCTCCAAAATTCATATACTGGCTACATATATATGAAACTATAATCAAACCAATCATGTTATACGAAGCTAGGGCGCGTGCGAAGGGCGGCCCTCGTTGAAATCAGAGGAGCGCCTAGTCTACCGCTAAATGCTCTCCTCAGTGTCGTATCTGTTGACTTTGGAGGCAAAGTAGCACCGGTTCGCTCAGCCATTAGGCTCAAAAGCTCTGGGTTCTCTTTCAAACCAGCGTACCGGGACTCGACAATCTTCAAAAGCTTACATTTACTTCCGGCAGAAATGGATCAGAGAGTTCCGAGGCTGTCCCCAAACGGACGATCGAAACTGTCGAGAAATACGTGATCTCTCTCTTAACCGCCTCGGAATACTCCCAAATAGAGCTGATTTGGGTTCCAGGCTACAGCTAGGCAGGGCACCCACGAAGGCATCACCTCAGGCAGGGAGTGCATAGCAGTTCCGTTGTCAGTCTGCGAACTGCTACTGAACATATGGGCCCATAGGCGGTCCAGCGAGTGCTGGGAAAAAACCCAGATATGCAAAGTTGCAAGGTCTTTCTGCCCGGTTGTTGACCACGGGCGGTTAAGGGAGTTTCTGGAGCTTGATTAAGTGCCTGGACTCGATTCTGACAAGTTTACTAACTGGTCATTTTCCTTTAGGAACACTGTGTGACTTGTTTGGAAGACGAGATGGAATCACCTCATCACTTCCGTTTCAGTCAAAACATCCTAATCTAACCTTCTATAACTCAGTAAGAAGCTTTCAACTATTAGAAGATGTTGCCTCCATAAAAATTCATGCCCATTTCATGCTTTAAAATTGCAGAAATGGATAAATATCTCCTCCGCAATACAGAAATTTAAACGTGGGCAATGTGAGTTCCTTTATCGTCGTAGCAGCACAAGTGCCTTCGAACAACCTGTCCACCCAATAGAGGTCATCCCGCCAGTAATCGTCGATAAATATAATGATATTGGATGAACAGAGAATGAAAGCGTGTGGGGTGGCTGAGGCTGAAAGCATCTCAACTGAGAGGGTGCATCACATTTTACATGAATGTCTGTATGAAAAAGACATCTCGTGCGACGGCTGCCACTCTTGCTCACACTCGACCATAAACGTAACCGTGTGACCACGGATATAATGAGGCTATTTTCAGCCGGAAATCGAACGAGTTTTTGTACCGTTTTGTAACCGTTGACGAAACATAGATTCTCCACCAGGGACGAAGAAACAATCAAGAAGTGCACCAAAAAATGCCAAAGATTCGGCCGATAAGGTCATGGCCAGAGTTTGTTTGGGTGCACACGATGTCATTCAGATCGATGACCTTGACAACGGCAAAACGATCAATGGCGAGTATAATTCAGAGACTGAAGACAGATATTAAAACTATGCGGTTTCGTAGGCATTGAAAGGATCGGAGACCGAACATTTCTGTTATTGATGAAACCGTCATTGAAAAATTCACTATGAAGGAAATGTTCTACAACTAAGTGATACATACCAATCGATTTCTTTTTTCAGCGAGAATCAAATTTGAAAATAAATTTTTATGCAATTACTTTTGATTTCTAAGTTATATGTCTTAAATAACAGTTATCGAAGACTTTTATTTATAAAAGTCATCAATAAAAATCAATCAGTGACTTTTACTTTTAAAAGTCATCAATATAAATCAGTCACCGACTATTGTTTTTAAGTCATACATATAAAAGTCATGTATAATTTTTTGCATTTAAAAAAGTGTTGGCGAACATAAATTTACTACGCCTTATTCAAACCACTTTTATAAGTATGATTTAAAAAATAAAAGTCACTGACTGCTTTATATTGATGACTTTTAAAAGTAAAAGTTCCTTACTGATTTTTATTTATGACTTTTATAAATAAAAGTCTTCGATAACTGTTATCTAAGACATATAATTTACAAATTAAAAAAAAAAACAGTTATTTGCAGATTAGTTATACAAAAATCAAAAATAATGGTTATTTTGGATTTATGAAATAAAAATCAGAAATAACTGTCATTTGAGGAGTAATTAAATAAAAGTCAAAAAATAACTGTTAAAGAGCGATTTTTTTAATAAAAGTTGTAACTGTTACGGTCCCTGGAAAGGATAAAATAAGACTACATTTTTATAGACATCTTCATTGCATAATAATGACATCTACATTCGGCACTTAACAATGTTTTGTTAAAACAGTTTCACTGGAATAATCAAAATACTTCCTTAGAAAAAGTTTAATAAGTTTTTTATTTTTATTTATAATTTATTGACATTTAGATGTTAGGAAAACTTAGCTCTGGGAGGAAGTGCCAGAACGCGGTAATTGAGGTCAGTGAACTTTTGAACAAAAAAATTGTCTCCATGCTTTTAGATTCAACTGCAAATTCCGAATTTATGAAGGAAAATGTACACAAGCGACCCCTACGTTCGACCAAGAAAAAAAGAAATCGAAATTGCTTTCGAATAGAAATACGTCCTTAGCAAAAGTTTACTGATTTTGGTGAGCTTAATAGCGCATCTCCCCCAAATGCTTAACTGCAGTTATGGGCTCGGACAAGGACGAAATATTTTAACATTGGGTGATTGGCAATGTTTATTGCTTACTTTTTGCTTTTCTACTTTCGTTTTCTTCTTCAAAATATGAGCAATTATTCCATTCGAGTGATAAATAATCTCGTTTTTCCAACAGGCATAAACTGCAGTTAAGGCTTGGTGGAAACGCCTTATTATAAGGCATATAAGGGTGGTGCGTTAGGTTGTTAGAAACTGAGTTCATTGTAAGTGCCCACTTTTATTGAGTGTCAGAAGGATACACGTACCTATATCGAAAGAGTATCTTTAATTTATTATTTTACTGAACCAATTACTATCCCTGAGGAAGCCGAGGAGAACCAACAGTTCCACCTCTGCTACTGCGCCCAGACTGGTAAAAAGCGTGAACCCAAGTACTTGATTCGCTTCGTCTGTAGACCTGGACATCGACACAAATAGTGGTCTATGGACTCTTCTTCATCCTCATCATGGCAGCCCCTGCAGAGAGTACTCGTAGTTATTCGCCACCGTTGGAGCATTGGTGCTATAGCACAGTGCCCTGTGATAACGCCGGTAAGGACTCTTACCACAGATCAATTGAGTTTCAGTAAGTCCCTTGTTTTTTTTTTTCACTTAGCCGCGACCATATTAATTGTGTGGTCTCACAGTCTTCCCGTTTGTTCCACAAGTCATTCGTCACGGCCACGGTATACTCATTAATTTTCCTAACGTGATCACTAAATGGTGGTAGTACGGAGCTATCCGCTTCTTCTGTTGGCATCTTTGAGCCGCATCTAGCCATCTCATCAGCCGACTCATTCCCTTCAATATTGCTATGTCCGGGAAACTAGCATAGAGAGACGTTGATAAGGCTCAGTGACGCCAGCGTGGTGCGACTTCTCCATATAATTCCCTTCAGAGACTGTCGACAAAAATAGTGGCTTTTGATGTCAATTAACTAAGAAACGAAAAAATTGTCTTTCGAGACAAGAACACCGATATATGTATCATACTTGGAGATCCGACTATAAATGCCGAAGAGATGGCGAACAATGTACGCTGACGTTTAACAAAAAAATACGAATTTTTCGAAATTGCCTTGCAGGAATACTTTAGGCTCAGAAGTGTACACTGCTTTAGTATTTTACTTATTCTTTATAGATATCACAAAACCACAACAACAGCCTTCAAATACAACTTGACGAATTTTAGAGCTTTGAATGCCAGCAATCGTTTATCAAAGATTCTTGTATAACTTTCTTATCATACTAACTTTTTATTTTAAATAAATTCCCTAAGTTTCACATGGCTTATTTTATAAAATCGATATCTGTAAGCCTCCGCTTACAGCTTATCCGTAAAAACCGCCGCCAAAGCTTTGGAATGACGATTGTGAGCTTGTACCGCTGTAACCACCACCAAAACCACCCGGAAATCCGCCGTATCCTCCTCCTGGATAGAAACCGCCGTAACCGCCAGGATAGCCACCATAACCACCAGGAAAGCCGCCGTAACCACCAGGAAATCCACCATAACCACCACCATAACCACCGAAACCACGGTGTCCAAAACCATGACGCTTCTGGCGTACGTGTAAATCGTTCGCTTCCACTGCGTCTACTTGCACAGGAATCACTCTAACTTCCTCATTGCCAGCTGGATAGCAATGCGCAAATACAAAAAATGCGGCGAGTAGCACAAAACTTAAAAATTTCATTGTTTATATGTATGTATGTAGTAAGTAACACTATTGGTATTGACGGAATTATTCAAAGTTTTCTTCGTACGATCAGCTACAATCACCAAACTGAAATCTGCTTTCGTTGTGAGTCAGTTTTATACAATATGGGTACGCATGCTCTAAAACAAACTTTTATATCAAAATATATGAGATGCATATCTACATTTAAATATTCTCTAACAGAAGTTCTCGAAATACATGCGTACATATGTATGTGCTGAGCCCGTTTACCCGTTTTGCATTCACCCAAAACTACGTCTACGCGTATCGTTTAAACAACTCTCTCGAGCTTGAAATTTCCAGTTTAATGATTCTTTGATTTTTTCGGGGATTTTTGTTTACTAACCGAAAAGACAAACAATGAATTATGGCACTCGGTTCTTCTTCTACTCCCAGAATGCATATCATCAGAGAATTTCGAAAGTATTGAAAACGCTTGTGTATAGATATGTATGAATGTATGCATACATTAGGGCGGGTAAATTTTTTTTTTAGTAAGCGCGTATAGCACCGAAGGCCCCTACGTGTGATTCTAATCAAATTATTCGAAGAAACATGGTCCCAAAATCAAATTGGAGTTAGCCAAATTGCGAAAATTGGTTTCGAAGAAAATATAAATATTTTCACAGTTGCGCCCTCTGGTGGAAGTTTTAAGAAAAATATAAAGGCAAATCAAAAAATTCTTTATAGCATGTTTTTATAAAAAATTTAGGCACTTGAAGCCTAGTTTAGCAATTTGGCAAACACCTAATTTATTTTAGACCCATGGTTTCTTTGGCGAATTTGATTAGAATTACACTTAGAATCCTCCTAAGCTATACGCGCATGGTTGAAAAAATGTCCCATACAAATTGACCCGCCCTAATATACATTTGTATATGTAAATATTTATTTAATAAGTTGACACTAATATATTATTGACGTGGGATTTTTTCCCCATTTATATACATACATACATAAATGTGTTTAGACGCAAACTAGATTATAGTTATTGTTTAATGTAGATCCTCAGTGGCCAATAAAAGGTTGATGTTTTGTTCAAAACTTGGCATTCGGTAGGTTTTTACTAGTAAAATCAAACAAGTTAATTATAAAATATTTTGGAAGCTAAACCGGCTTCAAAACGTTTTGGTGTCACATACATATATGCACACAAATTCGATGACTAATGAAACCTAAATATATAGGTAAAATCAGCGCACTTTTCAGGTTCGTAGATCAAAGGGGCAGGGTTTCTGTCGTATTAAATTAATGGAGCGTTAAAGTTAGGACTATTCTATTTGAAGCTTCTTCTTCTTATTCTTACCTTGCACTACAATCGTTCGTAGCCCCTCCTTTGCCAGGTTGCGTCAGGTCCACAGTTCCTTCTGTACTTGGCACTTTTATTTTGTTCTTGGGCATCCTTTCCCTCGTTGTCCATCCGTAGGTGCTGAGTCGAAGGTTCTTTCGACTAGGGCATCTATACCTATAATATGCTGAAGCCATCGCCATTATTGTATTTGTAAGCGGACTGTTGGACTGTGGACTATTTGTACAGGACTGATGAATCGGTAGCTACCTGATAAATACCGTCAATTACCAACCGACTATTTGCAGTGTATTTCATCGATTACTTTTACAAGGCAATGTCCTAGGCGGTAGTCACCATCGGCTCTCTCTGCACTACCGGGAGTTACTAAAGTAGTCACTTGCGTGATTTATGGGCGCCCTCTGTCATAGTTTTTCGCTGTTCTGCTTACGACTGGTTCGACTCTGTACTACCATGTTCACTACCACGGCTTAATAGAGTAGCTACTTACCTAGGAGTCGGTGCAGTGGCGGTTCAAAAGTAGCGATTGACTCCAGCAGTACTGGAGGGTAAGTATGTTCGTATCAATAAGAAGCAAGTACGGTTCGTCATTCCATCTTCTTTGGTGCCCGTCTCATCTTTGTTCGTCATTGTCGAGAGAGGCTCTGCTTTTCAATTCCCTAACGAGCGCCGAAGTAGCAACTGTTGCTAAGAGTTATTTTTCGCTTGATCTTCAGGCTGGCATTACTGATGATGTTTATTAGGGATTACAGGTGACGACCGCTGGGACTAAGTGATTAGAGGCATACTACGCTCAAAGGTTTCCATGTATTTTATATAGAAAAAAACAACTTTTCGCAGAAATGGTGTGGAGTTCTTGAAAATCAATATTTTTCGAAATTGTTTATTTAACAATTTTTTAATACCAACGATTTTTTATTGGTTCCCCCATTGCATTTTCTGGGATTTGGCGGTCCTGTTAAATATATTATAGGGACTCTCCTGACGAGAAACAGAGTTCCCCGATCGAAAAAATATTGATTTTCCAGAATTCCAAACCATTTCCAAAAAAAGTGGTCTCTTGCCCATATAAAATACATGGGAAACTTTGAGTGACCTCTAAATATTTTTTATTTCGGTATAGAATAATCCTAGAAGGTGAGAGCGTAAATATTCCGACTTTACTTTTTCACATGCATTTTTAGACGACCCAAATGTACATATATTAGCCTGGTTTCCCTTTCGTCAAACATACCACCTGTGTCTCCTCTTACAAATATAGAGAATTTTTCTTTGAATAAATTAAATATCATCTAGACACTCCTTGTGAGATTTCTGCCCTCGTCTCAAAAGGAATCAGCCCGTCAGAGTACTACATAATTTTGCTGCAGCAAAACCTGCTTAAATTTTGCCGTAAATGCTACAAAACGAAAAACAATACAGTTTGTTTGTATTGTGGTAAGCTGATAATTTTGTCGCGCACTATACATATATGCACATTAGTGTGCACCATAAAAAAAAGGTTTCAGTTTGTCCACTTGAGTTATAAAATTTATTATATTTTAAGACTGCTGCCAAAAAAAATTTCGGAACCTTATTAGGATACGTGTGTATATATGTACGCGAGCTAGACCGATTTGAAAATATCTCCAAAAAGTTTTTTGATTCCGTTGATAAAATTTTTAAACATTTTATGCATATCTTTTAATCTTAAACTCCTCTATCATCTGAGGTCATTTTTAAGAAAAACTATTTAAAATAATAATTTTATTGAGCTTGAGGTCGTTTTAATAATTTGTTTTTCATTAAAACGCCCTAAAGCTCAATAAAATTATAATTATAAATTGTTATTCGGCCAAAAAATAACAAAACCAAAAAACAATAATTCTATATATAAAACAGTATATTCGGAGATGTTTATAAACAGATCCAGGTCAAGTAAACCTTAATTTTTTTCTGAAATATTTTGGAAAAAGTCTTATGGCCTTATTCATAAAAAATAAAGTAGGTTTAAAGAGCTTTATAAAATGACGTTTTCATACATTTTTCAATTAATAAACCTTTTATAAAGCTACTTTATTTTTTATGAATAAGGCCATTAGAATATAACTAATTAATTTTATAATTCTGATGGAAAACACAATGTTTTTTTTTTGGTTGGAGAGTGATGCACTTTAATGTACAGACACAAGCGTCTACAAATATTAAGCACATTCCGCAGTCTTAAAAAAATTTATACCGAAATTCTCACTTTGGTTTTGTGGCCATTTTCCTATGAGCTGTGAGCTGTGTAAAATATAAAAATTATCCTTTGGAGGAAAGATTTTCTTCTTTGAACTTGTTCAAATAACTAAAAGTGCCAATTCCTTAAAGAATAGCATTGCTGCTTAATTGAGTAAATAAGGATACTGCGCAGCGCTAATAAATTGATATTGTTCCGAAATTTTTACCCACTCTTAGATACATACATACATATGTAAAAGGCAGGTGATCTAGCAGGCACAGTCGATCGTTGTCAATTGAATAATAAATTTCTTTTCTGAATATATCAGTTTTCTTTTAACTTTTCTCTAATTCAAATGTAACCTTTGCTTGAATAAACAATTTAAACCGAAGATCGGCGTTTATCCTTGACACATACATGTACAGAAACAAAATTAAAATATATTTTTTCCATTTTATTAGCTCAGAAATTTAATACCTAAAAATTGGATGCGGATAGTCATAAACACCACCGATCCTACCGACATTATTTGTAGATGCAACTGCTGCAGCGTTAGCATTTGCAGAACTGATTCCACCGCTTCCATAGCTTGAATAACTGTCTAAAGGAACACCGGGAAAACTACGTTTGTGACGACGAAGATTTTCAACTGCATCTCCCGATAGTAATGGCAAAGGATTCACGGGTATCTCTTCGATTAAATCGAACGCTGGATAAGGGTAGCATTGCACCGAAGCAGTAAGTACCAGGATGAACGCGAATAATGGGATAATCATTTTTAATTTATATTTTGAAGTGATTATTTTATATATGTTTTGGCAAATTAATGTTTTTTTTGAAAGTACTGAAGTAAAATACAGTTTATAAGATTCTGCTGTTGTAAGTGCTCTAACAGCCAATTATATACTCTTCTATATGTTGTAAATTTTGCAACAAAAAAAATTAATTCTAATTTATTTGGCTTAGCTTTAATAAAAATTGCAATAATTTTATCAATTGTGCAAAACTGGTAGTATGGCGTTTTCGTTTTTTTTTTGCATTTTACCCGTCAATATGCCATTCTGGTTTTTGCAATTATTGGTAAAAAAAATGTTATACTGAATATATATATTATGGTGGACGAATAAGTATGCATTTTTAATATAAAAGAAATTAACATAAAGCAGATAAAAGGCTCGTTGAACTTTCACCAAATAAATAAGGGTGAGTTTTTTATACAGCGAAATCAATCGCAGCGATTTTTACGATACGTGTGCGACTCGCTAATGAAAGTTAATGAATTAAATTTAAACAAAAGCAAGTGTGTTGTATATCAGAAATGTGATTTCTACATATAGCCAGTGTTCGAGAGTTTTCTGTCTACAGCTGGGTGACTTATCGCTATCTATTCGGCTACAGCAGTTCCCCGTACACATAAAGAGCGAATGCAGTCTCTTGCTAGGGAAAGTATTTTCACCAGCCTCACTGACGTTATCCTCAACCACGAGCTGCACGGTCTCTCCGAGACTGGGACCTGACCAATATCTACGTTTCAATAATGATTGGACACAAGATGGCGCTCATCAGATAGGATTTGTGAGTGTAGGATTTCGAGGATGTAAGGAAGTCTA